CCACTCCATAATTTCGACCAAAGCTCACCAAGAGGGGAAGAAAACCTATGCAAATTACTTCCTCCATAGCCAAGAACATAGCTCAAGTAATGCAAAGTTGGTCCAAGGAAGAAGAGAAAAGAAGGGAAAAGTTAGGAAAAGTGTGAAGGATTTAGGTAATAACCTTATAATAACTTTTCCTCTACTTCTTATTTATCTTATGACTTATATAGCATATGGAGGACCCCTAGGATTGTTCTACATGTTTAGAAGTGTAGAACAAGGGGTTGGAAGATAGTTCTAAGTCCAAGAACGGACATAGAAGCCAAATGATCGGTTCGCCGGAAAATAACCTTTTAGAGGTTATTTGTGTTAATATGGGGTTTGTGATGATACAACCTTGTTAGGAACTTTACTAAGGTGTTCATAACTGTCGCCGGAGTATCGCTGGAGTACCGCCGGAGTATCGCCGGAGTTCGTCGTAATTTCGCCGGAGTTCAACCGAGAAGGGTAGAACTTCTTAAAGCTCATTCGATGTGAGGATGACTGACTATATTGCTTACAATTGTTGGGTTAATTTCATAAGATTACCTAAATTATTAAATGTGATTTTCATGGATTATTAATGATTAATAATGCCTAAATGAAAATACTATTGCATATGAGTAAATGAAGCATGATATACAAATTTAGAGAAATTGTGTATGATTATGTGTTATGAAAGTGATGGCATGATAGTAGGAATTTACTATCAAAATTTGTGATAAAATATACTTTTACTTCATGTAAAGAATTCATGAATGGAAAAAGGGATATTTTTTTATATTGAGAATAAATTATATTTGGATTGGAAAGTCATTGGAAATGAATCATTGGACTATGAATTAGCAGAAACATTTCAGGGGTGTATTTATTTTAGACATTTTAAGACAATTTGGAATTTGTGAAATCTTGGTGTATTCAATCAAGATATTTTAAAACTCCTAAAATGTCAAGGTGTATTTAATCTAGATTCTATTTATCATGTGGGCATATTGAGACTTCCAAGCCCAAATAAAGACTAAAATCCCATTTTCCAAATCTCATCCCAGATTTACAATCTATAATTTGATATATCATAAATTATTACGGAGTATATCCGCATCTCCAGTCATATTTCTTTCAAACAAAAAAAAACATCTAAGCCTCTGCGTGGTCATCTTGTAGCTCCATCACGGACATTTTTGACACAATTTCTTAGTTTTCACTTCAAAGGTAAAACTTCCAGCTTAATTATATCTAGTTAAGCATTTGTAAGTTCAATTTAAAAAATGATACTAAATTTAATCCTCTGTGCATATAAAAAGTTATATACTCCATAGGATTAAATTTAGTAAATTATATACTAAATTTAATCCAAGGAAGTCTCAGTGGAGTATGAATTTTTATGGAATTATTTACTAACTAATTTAACTACTTTATTTTTTGAAGTACGGATCTACCAAAGGAAGTCTCAGTTGAGGCTAATTTATATTTTAAGAAGGTGACAATTCGCATTTGATAAAATATTTTGAAGATCAAATTGGTAGCATTTTAGCATAAGTTGTTAAGGTTGCGCTGGAAAGTTTTAAATCTTTATGATTAATTTTTACATTTTCAGCTTTATTTTATGAACCTAGAGATTTTGAAAAGGTAAGGGTTGGGCTTAATTAATTGGGTTTGATGATTTATGGATAATTTTAGCTCAGTTTTTAATGGTGCTAAAATCATTGAGGTTTCTGTTTTGAGGTTATCTTACTCTCTCCGTCCCAATTTGATTTGCAAAATTTCCTTTTTTGGTTGTCCCAAAATGGTTTTCCACTTTCTATTTTAGGTATGTAAATAAGAATAAAGTGACAAATTTACCTCTACTTTTACTTTTTCCCCATTAACTTAAAGACATCCACTTTTAGAAATATGGGCAAAAGTGTAAAAAGCAAGCATCATTTATGGTCATTTCTTAATCCTTATGCTGGTCAAAGTTTGCAATTCAATTCGAGACGGAAGGAGTATGTCAATTGTAGGATTCCCGAAGTATTGGTTAGATCTGATTTATGGAGTATTTCATCATTACATTTGATTTTTTATAATTGTTTTTAAAATGGTGCTAAAACTCTTCCCATTTCTAATGGAGACTACCTTAGATGTGAATTTCAGCGTTCAGTAGCCATAATTGTGTTGGTTTTAATTATTTGAATCACGTAATATTTTATAATTATATTTTATTTTCCCTCATTCAATTGTTGCATTCAAAGATTGAGAATAATTAGTTTCCCAGTTTTGTTTCATCCTTTGAAATTGACCCCTAAAAATGATTGATACTTCGTTTTATTTTAAATATGACTTGTAGAACAATTTTGTTTTAAAAATCATTGTTTTTTTTATAAAATGTTTATAAAACCTACGGGTATCATATACTATATGATGATTGTAAGTTCAAATCTCTGTAAAATGATAACTATTTCTTATAAAAAAAATTAAACTTATTTAATATAATGCTCAACCTTTTAATTGTAAATAAGGTTTTTAAAAGTTGGTTATCCTTGGAGTACATTTCTTGAAGAAATTATTCTCAAATAACCTATATGTATTTTACACTCCCATACTTTGGCCATTTCATTCTTCATTATATGGCAAATATTTTAGTTCCTATACCTCATTAATACCTCAATGCACTTGTTTGGAAAACAAACAATAAAGACCACATGAGAGAAAACTAAAGAACGAATATTACCTTTGTGACGTACATTGTAGAGAAACTTTTACTATTCATGAATGCATTATTTTGCAGAACTTTGATTAATGGTCGATGAACTGATAAAGTATTTATATATTCCGTAGAAAATTTGGCCATTGCACCCTCTAGAATACTCTACATCGGAAATTATTAGCAGCAAAATATTAAATATTTACTTCTTTTAACGTTCTTTGGGAAAAACGTCATCTCTATCCATTTATTACATGAGATAAGATTAACAACATTGGTCTTCATGTGTCGAGATGTTGCTTCCTGCTTTTGTTGTGTATTCCCATGTTTTTTGAAGGTTGTGTATTCCATCTTATTGCATCAATTATACTGTAGTTACTGTGAAATATACTCCGTACTTTCCTACCGTAGACACTTTTGGCGGGAACTTCTCTTGCAAGATTTCTTTTGCTATTATATTGTATTCTGCCTTTAACATTGGATGTGGGCAAAATGTATAAAATTGTTATACAGAAATTGCCCTAAATAAGAGTAAAAACGCTTTGAAATTCCAAAATACGGAGTAAGAGTATCATGTTTTTTATTCCCTGAATAAGAGTAATCTGCCAAATTTGGAAAAAAATGCCATGTTTTAAAGCCTAGTAATGTCAAACTTGGCAAAAAATTTACTCATATTGAAGTAATAAAAAACACGAGTGACAGCGGGAATCACTCTCACGCAGCACTTGGTGCAGACCGGCAGCAGGTAGTCTGAAGCTGAACGTGGATGCGGCAGTCCGTGCGAATGGAGGTGGTCTTGGCTGGTGCGTACGAGATGATAGCGGCAGATTTATTGCGGGGGTTGCATGCCCGTGGCCGGGGAGAATTACACCGCTGAATGCCGAATTAATTGGGATTTGGGAGGCTCTTAGCTGGCTTAAAGAATTTGGGAGGACCTCGGTGGAGGTTGAGGCAGATGCATCCCGAGCTATTGAGGAGATTGTGCACGGTTCTAGCTGTTCTTCGATTGGTTTACTAGGAGACGACATCCGGGAAGTGGCGAAACAGTTTTCGTCCATTACGTTTTGTCATATTAAGCGCTCAGCGAATAAGCCTGCCCATGCTTTAGCCAGAGCAGCTTGTTCCTTGTCTTATTTGTGATCTTGGCTTTATTCACCTCCGTCTTTTATTGTTTCGGCTCTGAACAATGATTTGATTAATATTAAATAATTTTCCTTCTTGCAAAAAAAAACACGATAGTCATATTTTGGAATTTCAAAACTTTTTTACTCTTATTTAGGGAATTCTCTCTCATTGTTATATCATAAATCACAATATATATTTTGTTTCTTGTTTTGGCGTTAACTAGCCGACAAAATTAGCCAATTCATTTCAAAATGTTTATGAGGAGTAGTAGTGAAAGTATAACAATTTTTTGGTGATCAAATCACATGTTTATGTATGTGGGTCTCATCTTTATGTACGCGTGCATATCCATGGACGGAGTATTACATTTTACCTTGTGCTGCATATTACCTCCGTGACTCCGTCCCGCTGGACTTTGCGAAGTGCATAGTAGGTGAGAAACAAGAATAATAAAAACTGTGTGTTGAGATTTGTCTAGAGGGGAAAGAAATATAGAGAATCACAAATTAGTTGCTTTAATAGGAAATTGATAAAGTTTTTTGGGACAACCAAAAGAAAAAGTTGACAAAGTCCAATGGGACGGAGGGAGTAATTGTTTTTACCCCCTCCCGATTTTTTATTTGTTTTAGTATAAAATACTTTTACTATATCTCAAATTTTTGTACTTTGTAAAATAATTCTTCATCACAAAAAATATAATACGTATTGCATAGTACTACGTGTTAGATGTGTTTGAATCAATAAAGTCTAAACGTAAAATTGAAGGGTAAACTACCCTAATTAGTTAAATACATTACGGGAATCAAATGAGATTCAATACGTAAAAAGCGACGGTCGCAAAATTTTCCAGTAGGAGGGGTGGCAATATAAAAGCATACATACAAATACATATATATTAAAGCTAAGAATGTATTTTTAAATGAGAAAAATTTGGCATTTGCTATCACTTTTGATTTGGTGAAAAATAGGAAAAGCTAAGAATGACTAAAATGTAAATATTGTTTAAATGAGTAATGTAGTCAACTGCTCATGTTGTAGCTAGACTTTTTGGCCATGATTTAAAAGGGTGTGAACATGATTCTAAAAGAGCACCGCACTCTAATGACCAACATCTTACCTGGGTACATAAATTGAAACCCAAAACTACAAACGATGCTTTTGAGGTTTTGAATCTGGAACCCATTTTGGTTACCATTGCCCCGAAAAAAATGCTACGGTCAATGAGGTTGCCCAACAGGATACTACATAAGATGATACAATCCATGAGGTTGTCCAAGAGGATACTGCACTTGCCCCTGTTGACCCGGGGTGCTCAAAGGCAGATCCTATTGTTAATCACGCTGCCTTAACCATCGAGCCCTCACCCAATGCACATGTACTGTGTTTGGATCCTAATGTCCCCGTCGAGTCAGGTGAAAAGGCCCCTGAAATTACATCCCACATCAATGAACCAAGTGTAAATGTCTCCTTATCCAATGATGCAAAAAAAAAGTAGGGCAAAAGAGTCACCATTGGCTCCCCCTTACCATAACTCAGCTGAGGATAACCCCTCCCAAAATAGTCCTTCTATAGAGTATCAAACCACTCAACCTACTAAATCTCTGACCTATCATGAACCCCAACCTCTAAATAGCTCTGAAGATAATGATTTTGACAGCCTATCTCTTATAGACATACCGATTGAAGAGGATACTTTAGACGGATTCACTCCGGTGGTCTCGAGAAAAAATAAAAAAAAACTAGTCACCAACAACAAATAGCTTCGATTCAGGTGCCACAAACCTATACCAGAGGATATACTTCACATATATATATACTAACAAGGAGCAACACTAAGGCTGGACAAACAGATATTGAGTTCTACGTCTATCCCGAAGAACACATATGAATCGCCTCATAAATTGGTGCAAGGTTTGGCTTGGTACCGTAGATCACATCCTGAGAAAAACATATATCCTCCATATATTCAAAGGGCGATTAAATTTCATCACAAATACAACAAAGACTTATCTATACAGGCGAGACTCCCCAAAAATTTTAATTACACAGTAAACTAGTTGGCTTTGTAATCTTTTACTGTTTCTCTTATTATTTCTGCATGTTTTAATTTATTTCCCCGAGCAGGCATTGGTTTGGTCCTCCTGCTCTCTGTACTACACTTTTCTTTAATAAACCGGTGAGGTGTTCCCTGGCAAAAAAAAGAGTAATGTAGTCAACTATGTGTAAACAATGTTTACGAAACTCAACAAATATCAAAAAATTGTTCATACCAATTAAAAATAGAGAGATTTCCCCAAATGGGACTAAAACTTAGTAGATTTGCATAAATAGGACATCAAGTTCATTATTCTCCTAAATAGGACTTTTATTAATTGATCAGACAAAATTGCACATAATGAAGTTTCAGGTCCGATCCTAATTTCCCAGGAACTAACGGACTACATCAAACTATATGCTGCCTCCACCAAGCACCGCCAACCTCCTACATCAACCTTCAGTGACTTGCCGCCACCAACACCATCCTCCGGCGAGCCAACACCATCCTTCGAGGATTAGCTGGAGCCGCCGGAGCAGCCACCGCCCTCTGGATGGTCTCTTGTTGATCTCCAGAGAGAATGTCATAATGATAAGAATAATGACATGTTAATGACATTTTTATGTAGGAATATGACATTTCAATTATAAAAACATGTACTTTTAAGATGAAAAGTAAATGCAATTTCAGGTCAAAGATTCTGGCATTTTTGTTAGAAATTATGTCAATATCATATTAAAATTGAAATTTTAAAATTTGAGAATAAATAAATAAAAAAGAAAAATCAGAAATAATATTGCCAAAAGTTCAAAAACATGTCATTCTAATTATTGCACTCTCAAATTAAAATTGCCATCTTGCTATAAGGTAATATAATTTGGCAAAAAGTTCAAAAACATGTCATTCTAATTACTGTACTTTCAAATTAAAATAGTCATCTTGATATAATGTAATGTCATAAAAGTGACATTTTGTGGTACTTTGAAATTAAAATTGTCATATAGATATAATGTAATGTCATTAAAATGACATTTTGCACAACAATTGCGGCATTCTCTATAACAAAAATTAATCAGATTTAAAAATTAATAAAATTTGAAGTCCAAATATTTCCAATCATTGAAGCTTCATTCAAAAACCGTTTTCAACAGAAAGTTTCAGATCCACAATACTCCATAGTATTTTGCTTTTTAATACAAAACAAAAAATTGAAAATAGAAGAGTAGAGAAAATATAGAAGAAGATGATTGAGAAAAATAGAAGGGAGAAGGGAGAACGGAGAAGGGAGAAGAAGATTGAATCAATTACCTGATATGGAAAATCAAAGAAGAGAGGCGATGAGAATTGAAATTGGCGAAGAGAGGCGATGAGAAATCGGCGAAGAGAGGCGATGAGAAATCGGCGAAGAGAGGCGACAACAATGGAAAACCAGATAGGCGAGGCGGCGGGGCTGGAGAGGCGAGGCGGCGGGGCTGGAGACAAACTCGGCGATGGTTGGGAAGCGATCGACGAATGTAAAGGAAAAAATAGCGAAGAACTCATATGGGAGAGAAGCTCGCTCACTGATCTTTGGACTTCAATAGCCGGTGATGGATTGGGGCTTTAATTATATTAAGGGAATAATGGTAATGTTGAGTCCTATTTAGGGAAAATAAAACATTAACTCCTATTTTGGAGTTTTAACTATGTTTTGATCCTATTTGGGGCAATTACTTTTAAAAATATGGAACATGTTGGGAAAACTCTAGACTTTTCCCGCTTCGTGAAGTTAAGATAGACACTCAGGAATTAAGGTAGTAATGAGAGCACACGATTTAAAATCTCCAATGCGGAGATCCTTCCACTATACAAAAGAATAGTAGGATTTACAAGGATGTTACAAAATTTTCTCACTCAATGGTGGCTCACTCAAGCTTGAGGATAGGAACTTCCCAAGCTATCTCTCTTCTCTCTCAAAGAGGCTCACTAACTTTCTCACTCTAAGAAGTGGTTTCACTCTTGGCTAGGATTATTAGGAATGAAGGCATCTACTCCTATTTATACTACTCCACCTCCATAATGAATGGTAGAGAGTAGTTCTCTAGAATGCTCTACAAATGTCTACATATTCTAGAGAACTCCAAGGAATCTATACACCTCTCCATTCCCTTCCATATGCTTCCATACTCTTCCATAAGACTCTGGAAGGTTCCACACATCTCCAGAATATTCTAGAGGATTCCACACTATTCCGCAAGCTTCTAGAGAGGTCTAGACTTCTCTAGGATTCTCCGCAACGTTATAGAAAATTCTATACTTCTCTAGAAAGCTCTAGAATTTTCTAGAACCTCTCCAATTAAGGAGGGATCCCAACAAATCTCCCCCTCCCGACTTAATTGGGGGGTAGTAGCAAACGTGCACCTTGATAGCAATCTTCGAACTTCTTTGTCAGTATTACCTTGGTCATCATGTCTGACCAGTTCTCGTCTCCGAACCTTGTCAAGATGCAATTTCTTTTCCTCGAGAATTTCTCGGCAATATCTTTACCACGGGAGAGAATATCTCTTCAATGTCGATCCCTTTTTCTTGACTAATGACAACCAACCGAACTTTGTAGCGAGGCTTTGAGCTACTATCTTCGGTCTTGATTTGACTCACCCACTTATTATTTAAGGCCCTTCTCCCATTTGACAGCTTCACGGGTTCATAAGTGTGATTCTCATGCAAGGATTGTGTACACAAAAATGCATTTTTGAATTTTTTGATACTCATTTCGTAAGTTGTGTATGCTCATTTGATAGTAATGGTATGCTCATTTTAAAATGTCATATCAATAATGCATATTTTAAAATTATTATAATACATTAAATTCGCAGATGCTCAATAAAATAGGTCACATACTCATTAAAAGTACATCATTGCTCGGTAGGGCTGAGCATTATTACTCATTAAATTACAAAAATGCCACCGATTTTTTTTGGCCTGAATCAGTTACTGGTAGGGCTGATCATCGGGCGGGTTCGGGTCGGGTGGGTGGGTGAACCCAATACCCTTTCGGGTTTCGGATGTGTAATATGAATATCCTACCTTATGTTTTTTTACTTAAATATTTTCGGGTTTTATTGTATTTCGGGTAGGACGGGTTCAGATCGGGTATCGGGTTTAGTCGGTTTCAAGTTGGAAAATATAAAATTACAATTGCAAAACATAATTTGATTCCCATACATAATGTGAATATTACAAAGTAAAGAGTAGGGGGGATCAAAATTGTAACAAAAAGTTTTAGCATATTACAAAATACAGATTACTGAATTACACAATTCATTAATTATTAACAAATGCCAAAATTTTGTTCATACCAATTAAGAATATGAAAAATATAGTCTGAGAACACATACTTACAAGTTACTTACAACACCAATGCTAATGTTCCATGGAAATTGGAGGACGTTGACACGTTGTAGTACACTTAGTAGTAGACATGTTAAGACCGTAGCAGAATCACTAAAATGACTATTTTTCTATCTAAACTTAAAAGCTTTACAAAATAGTACAAAGTAAAGTTATCAGAATATTGAGACAAAGTTGTTGATATACACAAGATTGGTGGTATCACTTGTGATTCGGTGAAATTAGGAAAAACCAAGTGATTTCTGCATCATGAGCTGTTTTAGTACTCCTCTGAGTGATTTCTTTTCCCCCTGTAATTCCAAAGTCTCTCATCACCCGTAACTATCTAAAGTCTAAATCCTGAATAAGTGAAGGAAATAAAAAACATTATCATCAGAAATAGGAACAAATTAAAACGGAACAACAACAAAATAAATAAAAGGATCGTCCATTCAAGAAGAAACTTTCTCAATTTAAAATCACTACCTAGGATTCTATCATGTGGCCCAAAAAGTTAAACCTTTTAACTTCTAATACAGAACACTATTAAGTAGTAATAGCAAAACCACCTCCAATAATATACTACGTAGAACAAACACCATCTTAAAAAATGAAAAGAAAACAAAAGAACTGCATTTTAATCCGTAACGAGAAACGCTGCTTTCTCATTCTTAGAATACTATTAACTACTAAGCTAACAGCGACCGATATCAAAGCTGAAACAATCACATCAGGTTAATAAAACACATAAAACATAGCACAATAGACATAGAGAGAGCACATATAAAGGTGCAACGGAAATTTCGGGAAAATGTTGAAATAACATGAAAACGATACTCTTATCAGATTTCCTATATGAAGGGGAAAAAAACAAAACAATAGTAAAAAAAGTTGCATGTGTATTACCAAAGTTGCTAAGGACTTCGAAAAATGCAACCTACAGGTCCTGTTGAAGAGCATCATCCCAAGAACCCCTAAAAATCCAACACCATATCCAACCCCTGTGCTTGAATAGAACTCACCGCCAAAAAGATTATCTTCTTCTTCTTCTTCTTCATTGGATACATGAGCAGAAGGATCAGTTGATTCTTCTCCAGCACAGCTATTGGGGAGTGGATCTCCACATAGAGCGGGATTTTCCGTGTATGAACTTGCATTAAAGCTCTGAAATTGTGTGCCTTTAGGAATTCTTCCAGATAAGTTATTATTTGACACTATTGGGGAGTGGATCTCCACATAGGAATTCTTCCAGATACTGCCTGTAGGGAAGCCAATGATCCGATGGATGTTGGAAGAGTCCCTGATAGATTGCGATTGTTTCCCAAGTTGAGAAATTGCAGACTGGAGAGACTTGACCAGCAATCCGGAAGTGCTCCGGAAAGTTGATTGAATGAGATATCCAAAAGCTTCACACCAACATGTGCCTTAATGTCACATAGGAAGTTGACGTCGGTGATGTTATTCCGAGAAAGGTACATTGCTGTCACATTGAAGAAAGAGGGCGGAATGACACCTTCTAATTGATTGGATCGTATATCTAGAACACCACCTTGGATTGATACTTGAGTATCAGTTCCAATTACTCTCTTGATTCTATTATTAGAAAGATTAATTTGCTTAAAGTGAGTAGTTGTATTCCAAAATCAGGAGGGGATTGATTCAGAGATGGCGTTATTGGAAATGTCAAGCTCCGTAATGTTGACTTGAGTTCTAAGCCAATTGGGGAATTTGGGGCCCAAGTTGCAAGACCTAAGGTATATGTATTGCAATTGGAAACGAGGAAGCCAAGCTGAGGTAACATTGAAAGTGAAATTGTTTGAAGATAAGTCTAGGTAGCTTAGTTTGGAGAGAGTAACAAAGTGAAGTTCAGAAATGAACCCATCTAGGAGGTTGCTGGACAAATCTAATTCGACCAAAGAGGGGAACATGCTAAGATCAGGATATAGGCCCGTGAATCCGTTCCCGCCTAAATTTAAATCCTGCAATGGGTGATTTGGGCATAATGTGGATATCGACAGAGTTCCACTATGACGGTTGAAACTCAAATTCAAGACTTGCAGAGTGCATATGTTCCAAATGGATTTTGGGATTTCTCCTTCAAGTCTATTCCCTCCAAAATCAAGATGTTCAAGGACAGACATATTCCCTAGAGCTTCAGGAATGGTTCCAACAATTCCGGTTCCACTAAGACTTAGATGTTGAAGGTAAATCATACTGTTGTTCCCAATCAAAGATGAGATGCTCTGGTTTGCCAGCAACTCTGGGTTTTCTCCAAGATTCAAATACTTCAAATAGCGCAGCTGAAAGAAGGGAAGGCTGGTCGTATACGTACCGTCTTTGGCGGACAGAGACATATCACCAAGATCAATCCGGATGACATGGCCAGTAGCGTCATCACACCCAACCCCCTCCCAACCGCTGCAGCAATCTTCACTGTGGTTGCCCCATGAGCGTAGATTGTCCTCCTCGTCAAGAACGCTGTGCTTGAACTTGAGGTGTAATAGTGTTAGATGTGATATGTAATGAGTGTTATTGAAATGACTTTTTTGTGATATTTAATTTTTTTACCCTCAGCACTGTTCATTACCCCCTTCCTTTTATTTACTCTGGCCGCAGCCCTTAAGGGTAATTTTGGAAAGTAAAAGGCAAAAATTAATCTACCTAAAAGTGTGTGAAAGTCAAACCGGGAGGTTGTTTTCGGGACGGAGGGAGTATCAAACGGGGTGGGTACAGGTAATGATATACCCGACCCCGAACCGCCCCGTTGTCATCCCTAGTAACTACGAAGTAAAAAATGTCCATTATTGACGAGATCCAAGGCGCATGACCGCTATACTAATTCATGTTGTTGATGTTATTATTATAGTAGTAGCAAACCACCCCTACGTTGCATGGGATAAATTGCAGGGACAAAAAAATTACAGAGGTGTAAATCAAAATGTACTAATATTATTTTTGTAAGGACTAATAACATATTTAAATGGTTTTGAAAATTATGGCCATACTAACCTATGCGCATAAAATTGTTAATGACTTCATTTAAAACTTAAACTAGCATCAGGAAAGTATAAACATTCAGAAAAAATGCAAGAGCTACCTGTCTTCTGCTGAGTATTGGTAATGGGAAGCTTATTGATGTTAGGAAGGAAGATTTTCTGTAAGTGATTTTGTCAAAGGGATGAAAATTGCAGCAAGTTGTATCATAGTAGTAGACCAGAGTCATTTAAATGTTTGTTCTTTTTTTTGATAATCCATGTGTCGAAGCTTACACTCTCATAATCCTGGAGTTTATGAATTACCCTCTAAAGCCCCTAGACAGTTAAATCTGAATCTGAACATAGTCAGCCTCGTCAGTACTCCTCCCACCACACGAACCCGCTACTTTCATTACCATCCTCTCCCTTCTCGGCCGTTGAGCAATTCCATGAAGGTAGGAAGAATTATTGGGAGCAAGACCCCCTCATCTCCCCTTGGTGAGAATTGAACCCAAGACCTCTCACGAAGGAGACATTTGGGGGTGGATGGTCATCCATTGGACTACATCCACCAACCCCTTTAAATGATTATTCTTCTATCTATGCTTAAAAGCTTTACAAATTAGTACAAAGTAAAGTAATTAGAATATTCAAGGAGTATATACTAATTCTATTATTTTTAATCTAAAAAGATCACAAAAATATTAAGCAGAAAAAAGTCTCATGGAGATGATGACTTTAATACACCTAGTTAATAAAATGGAAACAAAAACAAAACTATATTGCCTATAAATATGAGATCTCCTCCTCATCAATCAAATCTGCTGCATCTTAGTATTCCTCTCAAGTCTCATCCTCTGAGTGATTTATGTTTACCCTGAACTCCTGAAGTACCAAACTCCTCCTCATCACCCTACAAATATTTGAAGCTCTAAATCTGAAAAAAATGAAGAAAATGGAAAACACCATCAGGTATAGGAACGGAAGCTAGAGAACACCAGAAAAAGAATAGCAAGGAATGGTCATTTAAGAAGAAACTTTCTTAATCTAAAATCATAGCCCAGGATTCTATCACGTGCCCAAAATTTCAATCTCTTAACTTCTACTACTATTAAATACTAAAAGCAAAACTGCCTCCCATATGAAACAAAAACATCTTCAAAATAAATACGAAAATGAAAAACATTAACAACTGTCTCAACTCTCAAGATATAGCACGATAAATAAATAAACAGAGTAAAGAAAAAATGTTTTAATCAAAATCGGTTTTAATGGAAGTCACTCCACAAATGATAAAACTCTCTTCCGTAAAAGTGTTGCTTCAATATTAAAGCCGAAACAATCACATTGAGTTAAAAAAAACCTGCAGCAGGAATTTCAGAAAGTAAAACATTAATATTGAAACACATGAAGACGATATCCTTATCGGCTTTCGAAGGGAAAAAACAAAAAAAAAAAAGTAAAAGAGGTTGCATGTAAGATAAAGGATATTTACAGCAACCTGTAAACCACCAAGTGATCTCACGAACTTTGCCTTGTGCGTTGCAGCCACGACATAAGTCCAATCAGCAATATCGCTGAGGATATTGAAAAATGCAAACCTGCAGGACCTATTAAATAGCATTGTCCCAAGAACTCCCCAAAACCCAACAACATATCCGACCCCCATGCTTGCGTAAAACTCACTCCCAAAAAGCTTATATTCTTCTTCTTCTTCATTGGATCCGGGAGGGGAAGGATAAGTTGACTCTTCTCCTGCACAGCTATTGGGGAGTGGATCTCCACATAGCGCGGGATTCCCCATGTATACACTTGCATTAAAGCTCTGAAGTTGTGTGCCTTTGGGAATTCTTCCAGATAAGTTATTGTTGGACACATTGAGATTCCCTATCCCGTAAATCAGGGCAAGGCTTTGAGGAATGCTACCAGACAAATGGTTACTAGACAAATCAAGAGTATTTAAATGTGACAAGTTACCAATCCTCGAAGGAATCTGCCCCTTTAGATTGTTTCGTGATAAGTTCAACGAGGCCAACCCAACAAGCGATGTGATTTCAGTTGGAATGTAACCACTCAACATGTTGGATGATAGATCAATGCTCTGCACATAACCTAATATACTTCCAAATTCTTTGATCATACCTTTCCATACAAATTCTATTCTCTCAACTTCACCCATGAACATAAAATGATTATCTGGAGCAGAGTAATTGATGGGTAAGTGATAATTAATGGTGGCAATGTCATCTCCTTTTAATACAGTCATCATTCGAGTGAGATTAGAAATACAGTTGGGAAGAGTCCCCGAGATGTGGTTCATGGAAAGGTCTAACACCTGAAGAGACTGGAGATGACACATACTTGTGGGTACACTTGCATGGAAGTTGTTCGATGTTAGCACAAGTATCACAAGTTGTGTTAGACTTTCACCCACCCAATCTGGTATTGATCCAAACAAGTCGTTGTGTCCCAGATCTAAAGATACCAAGCTGGAGCAGTTTTTCATGGATGAAGGTAGAGTGCTTGTAAATTTGTTATGTTCAAGATGCAATGCCTTCAAGGAAGTCAATGAACCAATGGAAGTTGGAAGAGTTCCTGATAGATTGTGATTGTTTCCCAAGTTGAGAACTCGCAGGCTAGAGAGACTTGACCAGCAATCGGGAAGAGTTCCTGAGAGTTGATTGAATGAGATATCCAAAAGCTCCACACCAGCATGTGCCTCAATGTCACATAAGGAGTTGAGGTCGATGAATTTATTCCGAGAAAGGTGCAGTACAGCCACGTTGAAGAAAGAGGGTGGAATGACACCTTCTAATTGATTGGAGCGCATATCTAGTACACCACCCTGGATTGATGCTTGAGCGTCAATTGCAATTATTCCCTTGATTCCGTTATTAGAAATATTAATTTGCAAAAAGCCAGTAATAGGATTATTCCAAAACCAGGAGGGGATTGAACCTGAGATAGCGCTATTGGAAATGTCAAGCTCCGTGTAGTTGACTTGAGTTCTAAGCCAATTCGGAAACTCAGGCCCCAACTTGCAAGACCTAAGGTATATGAATTGCAATTGGAAAGGCGGACGCCAAGCAGAGGAGACATTGAAAGTGAAATTGTTTGAAGATAATTCCAGGTAGGTTAGTTCGCAGAGGTTAAGAAAGTGATGTTCAGAAATGAACCCACCTAGGAGGTTATGCGACAAAGATAATACGGCCAAAGAGGGGAAAAGCGTAAGATTGGGAAATAGCCCCATGAGTCGGTTGTTGTCTAAGTGTAGTCTCTTGAGAGGGTGATTTGGACATAATGTCGATATGGTTAGGCTTCCATTAAGACGGTTGGATCCCATGTCCAGGTCTTGCAGAGTGCATATGTTCCAAATGGATTTGGGGATTTCTCCTTGTAGTTTTTCATTACCCCAAAGGTTAAGCTCTTCAAGGACAGACATGTTCCCTAGAGCTTCAGGAATGTGACCTTCCAACCTATTCCTTTGCAGACTAAGGTAAGTCAACTTGACCATATTTCCGAGTGTGTCAGGAATGAAGCCGTCAAATAAATTATCTCCGAGATCGAGGTGTGTGAGCGCAAGCATGTTGTTTCCAAAATATTCAGGAATGGAACCTTGTAACTTGTTATAGCTGAGATCAAGATAAGTAAGGGCAGGCATCGTGCGGTTTCCAAAATGGAAGGCTTGTGGTGTGCATACCATCTTTCGCGGACAGATACATATAAAAAAGATGGATGTTGGTGACATGGCCAGTAGCGTCATCACACCCAACCCCCTCCCAACCGCGGCAGCAATCTTCACTGTGGTTGCCCCAGGAGCGTAGCTTGTCCTTCTTGTCAACAATGGTGTGCTTGAACTTGAGGAGCACTTCTCTCTACCCATCGATGCATTTTGGTACGGCAGCAGCAGCACCCCCACTCATGGCCAGCAGCAGCAAGCAGCAACTCACCCCCACTGCCATTGCCGCGGCTTGGGTAGACACCCATAACAATAATAATCTACCCATTCTCGACCAATTAAGCTAGGTAGCTTCTTCCAGCGTCTGTAATTTGCTAACTAGCTGATTAAATAAGCTATTTTTCTAGTTAGTTAAACTAGCTTCCTCCCACCTTCTCTTGCATTTGTGTGTCGGTGGGTGTGAATACATTCTAGTACTACGTAATATATTTCCCATTGCCAAGTCAATCAAGTCGTTTCAGTATGAGCAAATTAGTTTCGGCCTGGAAATCATACCATTGGATGTCTGTGTTGTATTTCCCATTGCCCAGTCAATCCCTCTGTATACATACCATACATGTATGTACGTATATGTATCTCTATGTTGTCTAGCCCCGTTGATGCTTTGAAGTTCCACCGTACATAAAATAGGTTACTCTTGCTTCAATTATTGTTCCAAAATATATTAAGTTCCAAAATAAATTATTGCTAGTTGCATCTTTTTATGTTTGATAGGGTCTTTCCTTTCATAAGTGAGTAGATTAGTAACATTACTATAAACATTGACAGTAAATATTGAATAGATTAGTCACATATCATACCACTTTTCTATCCAAAGTAATTAGAATAACCACATCATATGTTTTTAAATTTTTTATAAATGTGTTTGTATTTCTAACGTTTTTCTTCTCTTACGTTGTCTGCAATTCATCCGTGAAAAAGCATTAATCTTTTTATTCCATAAAATGCTCCAATCCATTGTATTGAAGGGAGCCAAAGTGGATTGGAGTGTTCTCTTTCTCTTATCTGAATGTTTATGATCTGAATTTTTCAAAATCTGATCTGATGTGAATTTTTCTAATCTGATCTGAATCCTTCTGAGCTGATCTTAATTTTGTAAACCAGTATATAATAATAATAATAATAATAATAATATCAATAACAATTATAATAAAATAATAATAATAGTAATAATAGTAATAACAGAAATAATAGTAATAATAGTAATAAAAGTAATAATAATAGTAGTAGTAGTAGTAGTAATAATAATAATAATAATCGATAATTATAGAATGTTTCCAATTTGTTATGAATGTTTCTGATCTCAATGTTTCTGGTCTGATCTCCTAGCTTGACTTTGAAGTGCAACCAGTAGCTTTTCATGTTTTTTTTGTCAAAATAGAGGTTGTCGTCTCAGCCTTTTCCTTTCTCTCAGTGAACCATTGTTGCATTCTTACTCTAAAAAAGTCGATGAGTTTAGCAGCAGAATACTCCCTTGCTGAAACATCAACATTGTTCATTTATTCCGCACAATTTGATGTCATTATATCATACCTACGAGGACCGCACATGCACTTTGTCCATTTATGACTGCCAATTTTATCTAGCCACGGCCGTATACGGATATCTTTGGAATCTAACAATGGCATGTACTCTTCGTACTCCTTCACTGCTGAAGCCGTATAAGCAGCTCTGAACTTCCAATCTAAATCAACCAGGAGCCCCTAAATTTAGATTTCATGTTACAACGCAAATGCTCAACACAATATCCATGACAAGCGTGTGGAATTGTGGAAAAATCTTGTTAGCTGCACTAAGCAGGCCCTTATGTCTATCTGATACAATGTAAATGTCCTGGCAGAACATCAATGCTTCATGAACTTTAGAAAAAATCACAACCAAGACCCTTTAGATACCGAATCACATATATACCAAATGCTAGTGGGACAATTTTGCCATTTGCATCCTGCGCACAAGCTGTCAGAAGGGTATTGATAAACCCAGAATACTAAACAATCAAGCAACCAAAACAGTTAAGAAGAAGCAGATAGAAAGATATCGACAAGATTAAAACCGAATCTGGTATACCGTATGAACTGGCCGCTGCTCTCCCTGGAGAAGGAGAGCAGCGACAACCCTAATCTTTCTATCTCTACGCCTCTGTGCTCTCTAAGCCTCGAACGTTGGTTTAGGTTCCCGTAAGTTAGCCTCCTTTTATAGGAGAAGTTGGCTAACTTACGGGTTACAAGGAAGCCACCGGGCTGATACACATTTGTGGCCCGTATTACACGTTTAATTGATAACTACACAAATACAAAGATAACTAACTAGATTGAACACCATAAAATATTCCCAACAGGTATCCTTGTAGTACACCTTCATAAATGACTCGTCTGGCATTAGAACTGGTCTGCAATATTTCCACGCCTCCCTCCAAGGTAAGAGAGACATGAAAAAATAGCGGAAGACATCGTCTTCTGAAGTTATAAGAGAAATTAGGGAATCTGGATTTGTCTGCTCAAGAGCATACGCCAAAGACGGTAGCATTCGGTATGTGTCTGAATCTGATCCAAACTATTTCTGTGTATCTATCTTATGAGCTTTCCATGCCTGAGTGTAAGAAATGAAAATACCATGATTCAGGAGCATATCTTCGCTCATTTCATTTGGCTTATAAGGCTTTCTTGACGCATCCAAAAGTTTATGAGATACAAGCTCTCCAACAGTGCGGTAGGTTGTTTGGCGATGTTTGCCTTGACGAAAATCAATAGAGCATGTGTGTAATAATGTAAATCTGTGGACAACAAAGAACTAAAAATGTGAATATGACTAGTATGTAGAACTATTGCCAAAATAATGGAATAAAAGACCAAGACAGAATGGTTAACTAAATATACAGTAATGAAGAAATATCTTCGGATCTGAAACATTTGGACACCATGTAGTCTTACAGCCATCACAACCCATTTACATTTTTATCGAAATAGATAACGTGTACAGAACCATTCTTTGATGTAAGTATCTTGTATTGGAACACATTATCTATTGTGTACAACTTCAAATGGTGAATAAGATCTGCTTCGGACTTACAAATGGCATGCAATACAATCTGAGTGGTGTGATAGTGAGTGATGAGTTCCACATTATGATGAACAAAAAAGGTGTCATTAGAAAGTGAAGAAAAAGGTGATGGACTAAAGCTAACTTCCGGGGTTGGACTACAAGAGAGCACATCTGTATTGGTCATATGACTTTGGGAAGTGTGTATAACATTGGCTTCATTGTTAATATGGATGTAATGTTCTTCAATACTATTGAAGGAAGAATGAATATGACCAGAAGATTGATTTAATGAACATGGAATTTTAGATACAATAGTTTATGCAACAGAAATTGTGGGAGGAGAAACAATATCAACTGAGAATTCCACACACAAGGGAGATTTTTGAAAATCACTTTGAAGAGACTTAAGATAAAAGGTAAAAGTGAAACGTTTCCTCATCACGGATAGAAACAGGTGGAGGACAACCACCAACCATGTAAGATAGTTTGAAGTGGTTATTTGATTTGTAAGCAGAAAATATGGAGGATAATTGTTCCATAAAAGTTGTGTATTTAGCAGACAAAAGTATTTGCATAACAAAAGTGGCACTGCAATTGAAGTTGTAGTCATTGTCCCAACTCCCAACAAGTTTCACCATAATCAGAAGAACATAATCCATATCGACAACTAAGGAGCAAAAAAGTAACAAACAGAGTTAAAAATTTCATATAATGTAAAACAAAATGCAAAGTTTGTGGCAATAACATAAAAATGACAAGACACGAGTTTGAAAACATTCCTGGCAGTGATAAATCAATGAATGTCACATGGAACAAGACAATAGGATTTTTTTAAGATAGGAAGGCTAATCATGTCAGTAAAGCGAATTAAATAGAAAACGATTCAAACAAAAGTGAAAAACACAAATAACTTAAGGGTGCAGAGAGCAGAGTGAAAACATGCCATATATTGTAAAGGAAACTGTCAAGAGTTTGGCAATAATTTTAACGAATGTCAGGCAAACGTTTGAAAATATTACTGTCAATGCTGAAGAAGTGATCGCTTGCTCAGACAATACAGTAGGATTTAATTAAGATAGGAAGGATAATCATGTTAAAAAATCGAATTAAATAGCAAACGATTAAAAAATAAGTATATGAATGATATTGTTCATCATAGCAACCAATTGTTGTGCGAAATAGATGTAATAACCATTACATCATGAAATTCAATACAAACAAAACAAAAGGCAATGATTCTGATCGTGAACATGGATATAAAAACAGTATGATCGCCAAATTGAATTTCACATACTGGTCAGAGCAGTATATTTATGATAGACGAATTGATGATAGTCGTTGAGTTGCAGAGGTGGTCGAACGGATCAATTTGTGTTGAGTTCGTTGAGTTGCAAAGCTGAGCGAACGGAAGGAAAGAGACGAAGATCGATGAAGAAGAAAGAAGGCGCTGACGCGTAACAGATAACTAACGGGAGAAAAATAAAAATAAAAAGGAAATCGTAAATTGTTACGTGTAAAACATTCCAGGGGTAAAAAGGGAAGGCTAATTTAACCATGTTTCCTAATAAGAGTAGATTGGTCCTATTTGCGAATAAAAACATAGAAGCTCCTAAATTTGATTTTCCGTCCACTTTTAGTCCTACTAGTATTGCACCCGTGCGATGCACGGTGCGTGAATTGTGGATGGGGTGTAAACATCGTTAGGCATAAAATATAATTGGATATAAGTTAATTATGAACATTAGATATAAGTAATATATGTAAGTTATAGTAATATGTAATGTGATTATCATAGAATTTGAAACATTACAAATTATGGAACACTTCCTCATAGACAACATTCATCGTCTCATCCTTTGGGCAAACTTCTTCATTAAGAATGAAGATTTTGAGACCCGCGCGATTGGTTACTCTTGAAACAGTAACATATAATTGTCCATGGCTGAAAACTGGTTTTTTCAACAGGAGACCAACGTGGGTGAGGGACTGACCTTGACTTTTATTGATGGTTATTGCATAAGAAACCATAACAGGGAATTGTCTTCTTTGAAATCTAAATGGCAGCCTAACATCGGACGGGGTCAAAGATAGCCGTGGCATTAAAACTTTTTGTCCTGCGCTGGTACCATTCAAAACCCTACCCTCCAAGATGTGATCACACATCTTTTTTATGATGAGTCTTGTCCCGTTACGCAAACCCAATGAGTGATCTATATTACACAGCAACATGACTGGAGTTCCAATCTTCAAAGTTAACTTGTGATCTATATTACACATCTTTGATATTGCAATCTTCAAAGTTCCAATCTTCAAAGTTAACTTGTGATCTATACTACCCTGTTTTATATTGCAGGTTGAATCCTCATTCAAACTTATTGGAATTGCAAAACGCGAATGGGCAGTTCTACCACCGGGTAGTAGTAAGGAAGCAATGCCACTTGATGCCACATTTAGTACTATGTCCCCTTTGGACCTCAATGTAGCTGATAGAGTTTTCCATACAAACGTCTTCCCAGTTCCACCATATCCATAAACAAAATACATCCCTCCACATCCGGTTTCAACTGAATGCATGATCTTTTCATATACAACACGTTGTTCACTTGTCAAACCTTGAAACAATCTCTCGTGT